ACCAGAGACGTAATCACTAATTGGGTCGAACAGGAGAACTGGCGCTTGGTTGACAAGGCGTCCAAGCAATCGGTCAATCGTCGTTTGCCTTGCCGAATCTGTAAAGTTGTTGTGGTAGAGTCGCTGCACAGACTTGCGCATATCTGCAACAGCACCAGCCAGCGACATCTTTCCATTGCGGGTAAAAGATGACTTGAGAGCACCAGTTCCGGCGTAAATCTTGGACAACGCATCTCCGTTGTCTGCCCAAAGGGTTGAGTGTCTCATCCAGAAGTCTTGCGTGGCATACTCCCCCTTGTGGCCCAAGAATGCTTCTGTGGCCATCTGGGAAATGAGAGTTTGAATCAGATTCGTTCTGTCCAAGCAATCGAGGCAGTTGGTCCGGAAGACGCCTTCCTGTTGAAGAACAACTACCATCCGCGCGGCGCCCTGCGTATCTGCGTCCGGGCCAGCGTCATCCGACTCTTCGGCCAAGTAGTAAGCAAACCCATCCGTAGAGTTTTCAATGTATCTGCGGATCTGACGGGCGGCCTCGTATCCTCCGGGTCCCTTTGTCTCGGCATGAAAGTCGTAGTGGGTCTCTCTCAGTAGTGCGTGATCTTGAGACTCGTCCTCTCCAACCTGGCTTAATGGACAGTGCTGTACCGCGAGGTGATACAGCTGGCTGAGTTGCGCCTCACCGGGCTTGCCCTCGCTAAGGAGGTTGACGACGTGAACAGCGCCGTAGGCTCGCTCCAGCTCATCGAAATGCTTGTTGAACGCCGGCTGAGCTCCTTCGGGAGATCTAATAACGGTGATGTTCTGTTTACCGGGAATAAGCTCGGCAGTCTGTTCCCAGAAGAGCGGCACAGAGCCTCTGACTTGGGCATAGGAGAACAATGTGCCTCCTGGGCTCCAGTACATGGTTTCCGTCTCAACGAAATTAGCAACATTGCCATCGTCGTCAATGCCTCGAGAGTTGAACCGAGTTCCGGCCCTCCGACTTGACAGACGCGAAATGACTGTCAAGTACGATGGCAGCCCGGTTGACCTTGTCCTCAAAGGAGCACTTGTTTGTGGGATTGCCATCGTACGGCAGAAGCCACGGATGGCTGAAGTCAGAAACCGCGAATGGTCAAGTGCGTCGCGCTCCTGGGGCAACAGCCGGGACCTGAACTGAACCAGCGGACTAATCATGAACGAATTCCACAAAAAGGAGTCGTCAAAGTTGTCGATATCAAATACAGATGAGTTCACCGTTCTGAGATTGTCAGCTGCTTGTAAGTGCACTGCAGGAATGTCCTTCTTACCTGTCCTGTAGTCTGTTTGTCAAATCGAAATCGGTGCTGTAGTAGAATGTTCCATTTCCCAAAAGCTTGCGCAGATCTGTACACGGGTGCTCAAGGGTTACCTCGCGCCCTCTCAGGTTTTGGCCATAGACCGAGTTGACATCCGACATCTCAGAGTCCAAAGGGTCCAGAGAAACCACATCATCCCACTCGCTATTGTTGAGACAGAAGAAGGCAACGCTTGCAATCCGCTCCACGGTCTCTCCCGGCCTAAGGGTGGCAACTCTTGTGGCATGTGTTACGACAGAGAGGAACACATCTCCTTCCACCGATATCAGGCCCAATGTTCCGTAGATCGGTCGCGGCGTCAAAGAATGGTAATCGGCTAATGTTTTCTTTGTAATCTGAGTGAATTCGACCATACATTTCGCTGCGGCGCCGTCGCCTCCGTTGGGTCGCGAGCGGGTAGATGCGAGGGAAGTAAGGGAGCCGTTCGCGGCCGCGCCGGTGCTGTTAAAGTTGTAACGGAAGATGAGTGCGTGAGAGGACGAAACGATCGCAATTGAGCGATGGGGATAGTCGCGAATGTAGAGCTTGCTAGACTTCTCGGGCGCCGGCACCTGAGAAGGCCACGAGCCGGAGCTGGCGTAATCCATGGTTGCGATGTACGGCTGAGGTGTTCGGTGATGCGTTTGTGTCGCAGATCATGCTTGAACTGAATAGCTGGTTTGCGTTCATCGAAGGGTGCCGTCGTCAGTGGCCGAGCCGAGATGGGTCTTGGAGACGAGTGTGAGAAGACCCAGGTCGCAACGAGGCGTCGTTGAGCAAGAGATGCGCGGTGGCCGCGGCACAGTGGGATTGAGGTCGCCAAATGGTCAACTACGGATGCCGTGGCTGACTGTAGCGGGATTTGGGTTGCCTATGCGGAGCCCAAGGATGACGTCCGTCCCACCGGAGGTACAAGGTGTTTAGAGCTGGACCACTACCTTTAGCGCCTGAGCTCCGCCTGGGAGGCAGCTGGTTTCAGCCTCACAGACCACCGAAGGAGGAAGCTGCCCAAATTGCACATGTCGACATTCCGCACCTCACCAGGTACGTACCCACCATCTCGCCCTGGCGGACCCTCTCTCGTAGGATGCTTCCGGCTGGAACCCAGCATATGAATGGGTCGCCAGACTGCGGCCATACGAAGCGAGCCGTCTATTCGGCGAGGTTAAACTGCAAATATTCCGACTTGCTGAAACGCGGGTTAGGGACCAGGAGGGAAACTGTCACCTCACCGTGCCTGAAGTTACTTTGGTAGACAGGCCAAGACCGGACATGCGACGAACACCCAAGAAGACTATCCAAAGGATCTATTCGAGAAGAGCTAATATTTGGCCTCACTGTCCAGAAGGCACTTGAGAACTTCTTGAAAGGAGCTTGTACGAGTCGGGATCCGGCATGCCTTGGCGGATCATATTTTGGCCCAGCGAGGCTCTCCTTCCTATCATTGCTCCCCTCGTGATTGGACTTTTACCCAAGCCTTAGCCGCCATACTTTGATATCTTCCCGGGCAGGACATGGCCGTGCATGGCGAGAGACGGCGATAATGCCAGTTCCTATGAAGATTAAGGCGTGATTCCTTGATGGACATGTCAACGGTATAGAATCAGGTCGGTCAGTTTGCTATCGCTTAATACGATGGCCAAGACGGCTGCTGGGACTCCTCCGAAATGATTTGGCCTTGATTTGATATAGAGATCATGGGAGCACAGAGGCCTGTACGGATATTCACTACTCTCAGATAGCTTCCTTAGAAGCTAATCTCTATGTCGGGGAGGTTGAGGGACTGTAGCCGGAAGGCAAGGCGTTTGGGCAACATCGCGCCCTACGCCTGTCTTCCTCTTCTTATCAGGTGCACACTCATTGTCTATGGCCGTCACAGAAGCATCTTATGATGATGGGAAAGTCTTATCATCGAACGATCTGCCTGGCAGGACTTCTTCAGGTATGAATTCTGCAATCGCATCGGTCTCGAGTTCCGCGTGGTACACAATTGCAGCCTTGTTGATCACCAAATAGCTGAACCTCCAACATGAACTTATTCCGATGCCAAGTGTAGTCAAAAGCAACAAGAGTAGCAATTCATAGGACCAGAGCCATCAAAGCATCTGTTTCGTGCTATTGCACGCGGAGATGCAAAATCGTTGCAAAGTCACCGAGACTCGGAGACTCGGAGCCTCTGTGACAGGAAGTGTTACTCCTTGACAGACAATAGGAAAGCGAGTCGCGCAAGCTAAAAAAGGGGGTTTCGCGCAGCAGCACTTTAGGAGTGCTCCGGAATTGACCATGGGCATAAACGTCAACTTCGAGTCTTGCGATAGATAGAGTGTGTGGGGGTACAGCGGGAAAAGGGGGAAACATGAAGATGAGACGCGGAGGTGACAACGACCAGGCCTTGGGGAATCCCATGCAACGGGAAGAGGCGAATTATCAATGCTTTACGCATGCCAGGCTTCAGATTAAGTGAGTTGAGATCACGCCGCCACCTTGGGTGAGCAGTCATTCTCTTCCTATCATGTATTTTTGGGAGATCATCATAAGCCTTTTTGATATGTAGAAGAGGAAAAGAAAAAGTGAAAGGGTTTTCGTGAGTATCAGACGTCAAATAGGATCCACGCAGAGCCCGTCCGCTTACCTAATACGCGCCGAAGTGCGCCAAAAGAAAAAAAGAAAAATCAGACAGACGACAGGACCTTGGTTGTGGTGGGCGACGGGGCCTTGGCGAACAGACGACAGCCCACGGGCGGAGCGAACACTGGACTTGGGAAGAGCTCCACAGTGGACAGCGTCCGTCAGTCGGGCTGTTCGCCAGAATCCGATGAAATTATGCAGGGAATCTCAGGCAGGCTCCGTGGGAAAGGCCGGGGCTGGTGGCAGTAGAGGGTGGATGGGATGGATGGCTGGCCGATCCACTCAACAGCGACCTCCCATGGGCAACTGATGCGTGGAAAGCAAGCACTGAACCACTGCCAGGTACTTTCGGTAGTGTGTTGGGTTGGCATCGTCGGATAATGCGACGGCTGCTGCTGCAGGGACGGGGACGGCATTTCACTGGTGCTTTTGATGCTGCAGCTGCTGCAGAGTGTCGTACTTTGGGACAGAACAGGCCCAGCTGCACGTAAAAAAGCTACCCGACATTCTTAGCAAGGCAACAGAGTTCCTGAGGTACCTAACTTGGTAGATGGGTTGCGTTCCCAAACCTCAGGTTCCAAGGTTAGACAGAATACTAGCGGATGATGTACCGACTGCCTTGGTTTGGTGGAGTGCCGACCACCTGATGTCGCCAACCAACCTTCGGCCGATCTTTTTTGGTCGGCGCGCGTCACTGATAAAGCGCTGCTTGCCAGGGTTCACCTGTCATGGTACATGGGCTCCAGGTATCTTTGCCCAGCAACATGCTGCTTCAGCCCCATTTTGCATGCAGCCCGTATTGAAAGTGCGGCGCCCGTTCATAAAAAAATCCAGCCCCCCTTCCTCTTCGCGACCTTGAAGCTCGACCCGGCCATCCACGCTTCCCACGGCTACAGCCTCGACACAGCAGGTGCCTTCATTCTGTCATCTGCAAACCGCCTTTCCCTTCTGCTGCAGCCCTCGGCGGTATTGCGCATCACCAACGACTCTGGTTTTTTTTCTATTCGGCCAATTCCATCGCAACCCCCGCCACTCGTTATTCCAGCCAGGCCCATCATGTCTGACTTCGACCACTTCGGTAGCTCCGATGAGGAGAATGCCGAGATCAAGAAGCTTCAAGCTGAGGTGGTACGTGACTGCGACATCGCCAGCGTCGCACCTGCCGTTTCGACCAATGGGCCATTTGCTAACATTTGTTGCGCTTGCAGGACACCGATCCCGATAACTTCGAGCACTGGGAGAAGCTTGTACGCGCCTGCGAGGGTTTGGAGGGCGGCCTGAACCGCAACTCCAGCCCCCAGGCCCTGGGGACTCTGCGCGATGCCTACGACCGATTCCTTCTCAAATTTCCCCTACTCTTTGGCTACTGGAAGAAGTACGCCGATCTCGAGTTCAATATTGCAGGACCCGAGTCGGCCGAGATGGTACGTGATTGTCGCATGGCGGCGCATCCCGTCGCAAAACATTCCTCCCTTGGCTCCCGAGCTGTCGCTAACACGTCGCGCTCTTTCAGGTCTACGAGCGAGGATGTGCTAGCATCACCAATTCTGTCGACTTGTGGACCGACTACTGCTCCTTCAAAATGGAGACCACCCATGTCCCACACCTCGTCAGAGAGTAAGTATAGATGGTCGGCTTTCCTTCCCCTTAACATCACCATCACCACAGCATGCCTCATCGGCCGCTCAAGACCTCGAACGAGCGATACACTGGCCATGCCCACCGCCTCTCCAAGTATCCGACGGTGAGAAATGCCAACAGCAGCCCCATTGTTGGGATGCCCTCTCACACTACTTTACCAGGCTCTGTTCATTTCCACTTGACGATGATCTCATCCGTTCTCCGCTTCACGCTTCACGTCGCATCTCCACCATACCGCTCTCCTTGGAATGCTTTGGACTTGGACTCGCTAGTTGATTTTTCTGATACCCCTTCCTGTATATCCCGCCTTCCCCTATTGCTTTGATCACTCCCTCCCCCTCTTTCGTTGGCCGTTTACTGACCCCGTTCTCCAGATTGTTCGAACGCGGCGCTACATGTGTTGGCCTGGACTTCCTCGCCCATCCATTCTGGGATAAGTACATTGAGTACGAAGAACGACAGGAGGCGCAGGACAAGATCTTTGCAATCCTTTCCCGCGTCATCCACATCCCGATGCACCAGTACGCCCGCTACTTTGAGCGTTTCCGCCAGCTTTCTCACAGCCGTCCCGTTACCGAACTGGTTCCTGCCGAGACGCTCGACAGTTTTAAGGCTGAGGTAGAGGCAGAGGCTGCCCAGTATGCAGGTGTGCAGCGAACAGAACTCGAGGTGGAGCGTGACATCCGCACCAAGATCGACGCAATGTACTACGAATACTTCACCCAGACTCAGAACGAAACCAACAAGCGGTGGACGTACGAATCCGAGGTCAAGCGCCCCTATTTCCACGTTACGGAGCTCGAGAACCCGCAACTCGTCAACTGGCGCAAGTACCTCGACTTTGAGGAGTCTGAGGGTAACTTCACGCGCACAGTCTTCCTCTACGAGCGATGCTTGGTTACCTGCGCATTCTACGATGAGTTCTGGTTCCGTTACGCCAGATGGATGTCGGCACAGGAGGACAAGGAGGAAGAAGTTAGAATCATCTACCAGCGCGCCGCCACTCTGTTCGTGCCCATCAGCCGTCCGGGCATCAGGCTTCAGTGGGCCTACTTTGAGGAAAGCTGCGGTCGTATTGACATTGCGAGGGACATTCATGCCGCGATCCTCATGGGCCTGCCTGACTGCATCGAGGCCATCACATCATGGGCTCATCTCCAGCGTCGCCAGAGCGGACTGGACGCTGCCATTGAGGTGTTTAAGGCACAGATCGACTCTCCACAGGTTGACATCTTCACCAAGGCTGCGCTGGTGACTGAATGGGCATCCTTCCTCTGGAAGGTCAAGGGTTCAACTGAAGAGGCGCGTAACGTGTTCCTCAAGAACGTGCAGTGGTATGCCGACAGCCGCGTCTTCTGGGATAGGTGGCTGGAATTTGAGCTCCAGCAGGCCACCAGCACCGAGGTTGAGGACCAGCATGCCGAGCGTGTCAAGCAGATCTTTGATGAGCTTCGGAGCAAGAGCCGCCTGTCAGCCTCAACAAAGAAGGACTTGTACCACATTTACCTGTCGTACCTTCAACAGCGGGGCGGCAAGGATGCCATGAAGCAATTCTTGGCCATTGACCGGGAGATCTACGGGTAAGGGTTCTATGATCTATACATCAGTGAGGATGTAAGCTAACATTTTACAGTCCTGGATCTATCTCTGTCCTCGCCAAGGCTAAGTCCGGCAAGGAAAACGGCGTCGGAGGAGGCGAATTAGACGACACGACAAGACACCGTGCGGAGGCCAGATACCTCAAGTACTACGAACTGCCCAACGAGCCAGATGCCGAGGGCCAGGGAACGGCACCCTTCAACTAAATGACGTCTTTATTTTCTGAACGCTTCCGGGAGTTACCGGATTTGGCACGTCCTGGAGGCATTTCTCGACTTTCTTGTATTATATGACTCGATTTGACGACGGATTGAACGCGGGTGGCTGGCCTCGGGAAGTTGTACTGTATGCAGTGTGTACGAGGTGCTCCAGATAGAGAGACCGCGCCTACAGGGGGGCGACGACATGGCGGAGGCTGTTTGCTTAGGGCCCCAAAGGATCGCAGGTCGCATGATACCGGCTCTCATGATTTGTGCGGCATGTTGCCTCACGAATACTAATTGCGCAATAACCGTTAAACAAACCTTTTGATGATAAACACCTTGACGCGAAGTGATGGCGGGGATTTCTCAATGCGACCAGTCGCCGAATTATGTATTGCCCGCAGCCCGATGGGACGGTTAAGGTACGGGTAGCACCGCCGATTGAAGACCGGGAGGCACCGAGGTCCCCGATAATATCCCCACGGGAGCAGGGTTGAAAGTGCCGGTCTGTGCCCACTGTTCGGACCGCCAGCGGCTGCGGTGTCGACATGCTCTAGAAGGACTCTGGAGGCAATGTGTGACTGGTTCTCGAACTCTCATTATACTCTGTCGGGCGCGTCGCATTACCTATTCAACGGGCGTTGGGCATCAGACTTTAAAGGCTTTTTGGATGCAAACAAATGGACAAGAGGTTGATTAGTAAGTTTAGCAGGGGTCCTGCACGAAAAGAAGCCGCAGGAAGTTTTTGCCTTTTCAAGTGTCGACGCGCTGGGGGTGCGTCATGTCGCGCGCCCTACGGAAGAGTAGATATTTTCCTCGAGGACAACCCGGCCGCTAAGCTAGGTGTGTTTTCAGCCCTCTGCTGTCGGCTCGGAATGAAGTTCGGAACTGAGGGTGTAGGTGATGGCTGGCGTATGTTATGGCGTGAGCTGGAAGAGGGAGCATCCGAACCCTTGGGAAGTGGAGGGGTCGGGGGTAGGCCATGCCAGCCAGCGCAGGCAACGGCGGGATGGCGACAACGGCAGTCGACGTTTTAGAGGGGCCGAAGAAATGCATTTTCCCATGTGCAGTGTGTTCCCGAAAGCCGAGTGCCGCGGAGACGCGCTGTGTTGGATGTGTGCTCAGGGGACACCGGTTGGCTTGGGTTGTGTCACAATAGGGCGTAAGAGTTGACGTAAAAAGCACACATTTGAGGGTTTGTTCAAGGAGAGGGAGACGGGCGAAAATGGTGAGGCAAAAGGCCGAGTCAGACCAGGGCCGAGTTTTGGAGGTGGCCGTTTCGCAGTGATTGAGCACGTTTGCTGCGTCGCCATCGCCGTATCAAAATGGTACATGGGTACTTGCGACCATGAAGTCAAGTCAGGTCAGAATTGCGCGGGGAGACTGTTGTTCCCGACAGGCTGCAGCAGCAGCCCAGCAGAGCCCGCTCCCCATCCTACATCGGCGCCCCATCTGCACATCTGGGGCGGCGGGCTCGAGTCAACACAGAAACTGGGGTCCCCGGGAGATTTATTACAAATACTACAAGATGAAAGGGCGAGCTGGTTGCGCAGCAGCGGCTCTCGACCGTCCAGCGTGGGGTCAGGCAGTCGGCTTGGCTTAGCCGAGAAAATCACTTTCCGTTGCTTGATATGACTGACCCAGACGTCGTGGAGATGAACGAGAGCATCGTCATCGACGAACGAACCATGACCGGAGGTCGACGGAGAACGACGGTTGAAAGACCCATTGTGGGATGCTGCCAGTCGCCCATTGGAGGCTGCTATTTGATTTCAAGTGTCATACGCCAAAGTTAGAATTGTTGCTCTCATAAGCAACACAGTTCTGGACGCAATTCGGGGGTTTCTCTGCCTTGCCCGGCCTCCATTATCGGAGCAAAAAAATTGTGTGAATGCAACGGAAGCCACATGGCCAAGTCAAATGCTAGCGCATGTGTCAGCGTTTCTCGGGCTGTAAGACCCAGATGCTGTGCAAAAGATACCCCGTCCTCGGCCTTATCTCTGACAGGTACAACGGCACCAAGCCCAGCACCGGCATGTTTCGATGTCGGTCGCTAGCACGGAATTTCTCGACTTTGTTGGTGAGCAAACTAGCTCCATTCGGCTTACAGCATACACCTTCCACTGGTGCAGGGTGAGGTACCGCGCGCACACCTTCCCGTGCCGTCACAAGGCGAACGAAGGAGACGACGACGTAAAAAATCGGGATCCACCACAAACGTCGTGGGAACCCACATGGCGAAGCAGGAGGCAGTCGGGCCCTTGCCCGGGGAGAGAAGAAACAGTGGCTCCCACGCATCTTGGCCGCCCCCGGTCCCCTGTTTCTGGACTGGAGCTCACGAATCTGACCACTCAGAGGCCACCAATTTCTCATTTCACACGTCGCCGTCCTCTCTCGGTCCCTCTCTCTCACTTTGAGGTCTGTCTCTCCTTGAGAAGTCGGGGTCCTTGGTCCTTGTCTGGTGCTCTCGCCCCCCTCCGGAATGGTGCCAGAAGGCGGCCTTCGAAGCCGAGCAGCCTTTGCCTGGTGTGCCAGCTCGGCCAAGCCTAGGGTACACAGCTGGTTCTCAAACGCCCCCGGGCAACGGGCAGGAACATTCGAGAGTCTCTTTTAAACTGTCAATTGCTCCCATTCCCGCCCCTCCCCGCTGGAGAGTTGTTCCTTTCTTCTTTCCTTTCCACGCTCCATTGGAATCGTGGTCTGATTCTTGATATCCCATACACATCTCAAGCTCAAGCAAGGTTAGTCTCCAGCTATTTCCAACCCCCCCGCCACAGCTTTCATACATCATCTTCTTGCTAAGGAGTGTTGTTCTCATACCGGCTGGTCACCCGGCACACACACACCGCAATCTTGTCCACGATAAAGCCCAAACCTAACACAACCCAACTAGATGGCAGCTTCTACCAGACAATTCGCCCGCGCGGCGATGCGCACCACCGCTAGAAACACTTTCGCCGTCGCTCCTCGCCAGGCTTTCCGCCAGCAGGGCCGCCGCTTCTACTCTTCCGAGCCAGCCTCCAAGTCCGGCAGCTCCACCTGGATCTGGCTCACCGGTGCCGCAGTCGTTGGAGCCGGCGGCTACTTCTACACCCGCGAGGGCGGCGTGTCTGCCGGCTCGACCCCCAAGATCGTCAACCCCACCAAGGCCGACTACGAGAAGGTTTACAAGGCCATTGCCGACCGCCTCGAGGAGAACGACGAGTACGATGACGGAAGCTACGGCCCCGTCCTCGTCCGTCTGGCCTGGCACGCCAGCGGCACCTTCGACAAGGAGACCGGCACCGGTGGCAGCAACGGCGCCACCATGCGCTTCGCCCCTGAGTCCGACCACGGCGCCAACGCCGGTCTGAAGGCTGCCCGTGACTTCCTCGAGCCCGTCAAGAGTAGGCTGCTTCCGATTTGAAGTTCAATTGCCCCAGCCAGCAATGCTAACCTCTCGCAGAGCAATTCCCCTGGATCTCCTACTCCGACCTCTGGATCCTCGGTGGCGTCTGCGCCATCCAGGAGATGCAGGGCCCCGTCATCCCCTACCGCCCTGGCCGCAAGGACGGTGAGGCTGCTGCCTGCACTCCCGACGGTCGTCTCCCCGACGCCTCCAAGCGCGAGAAGCACCTCCGCGACATCTTTTACCGCATGGGCTTCAACGACCAGGAGATCGTCGCATTGGCCGGCGCCCACGCCCTTGGCCGCTGCCACACCGACCGCTCTGGCTTCGACGGCCCCTGGACCTTCTCTCCCACCGTTCTCACCAACGACTACTACAAGCTGCTCCTGAACGAGAAGTGGCAGTGGAAGAAGTGGGACGGCCCTGCCCAGTACGAGGACAAGGGCACCAAGACTCTGATGATGCTTCCCGCCGACTACGCTCTGATCCAGGACAAGACCTTCAAGAAGTACGTTGAGCAGTACGCCAAGGACAACGACTCCTTCTTCAAGGACTTCTCCAACGTTATTGTTAAGCTGTTCGAGCTCGGTGTCCCCTTTGCCCAGGGCGAGGACCAGCGTTGGACTTTCAAGCCCACTTGGGCTGAGTAAATGTGCCGCTGGTGAGGCGCAAAAGCAGATGTGATTTGAAAGCGATTTACCAAAACCTAGACAGGTTAGACATAGAAGAGAGATATCCGCTCGGAGAGGGGAGGAAACTCGAGAGGCGAAAGAGCAACGCCCTCAAACCTGGTTTTCAGCGTCAGTCCGATCCTGGACAATGTTTTCATAGTGTTGCCATGTCCATAGTTCCTGTACAACAATCAACGTGACCCTTGAACGACAAGCTCGCGCGCCAACCGGTGAAGTCGCCTGACGGTACATTACTTGAGATGGCATGAAGTCGAGATAAAGATGAGATGAGGGGGAAGATCGAGGTCGGATCGAGCGGTGCTAATAATAACCGCCCAACCGCTTCTCCAACCCAAGCCCTACCGGCCGGCTTCCCCTCATCATTATCCCACATGGCCAGGCGACACACACCTCTCCGGGTTTCCAGACGGCAGCAGGGACTGTTTCTTCGCGTCATGGGTGTTTTGATGGCGCAGCCAATCCCGACGGGTTGGTAGCTCACCAGCACCACCACCACCATCGGCACCTGCCTTAGTGTCATTTCTCCAGACGTTGGACATGGGGGCTTTCCCCCGCATTTGGGGCGGGAAGGGAAGATCTTCTGCGTCTTCATTCCTCGGGTCCTGGTCCAGATTGTATTGATGACGCACCACTTGTTTTTTTTAGCGATGGCGATTTTCTGCTTTGAGGGGGGGTTGAGGAGCGTTCGAACTAGTCTTAGAGGTAGCACAGCAGCGTTGCCAACGGTTGAAGCTGAAAGACACCACCGGAAATCATTCATCGGTTGTGCTGCGATCTGGGGAAACCGAAGATGAGATGGTGCTGGGGTGCGGTTGATGCAGGTGCACCGTCACCTCGGCTTATCTCCCGCCCTCCCTGTTCAGCCCAAGACGCGGGCATGATCTGTACCCGGCAGTCAAATCCGACCCGTTCAGCACACTTTCCCTCTCGACGCCGGATTTCCCGCGGGCCCCTGCTACATCCAAGCAGGACATTTACTGACAGCAGAGAAGGAAAGTCGCAGACACGGAAGAAAGCCATAATCCAGCCTGGACTTCCTCCCGCTCGTTCAAACACCTTCTCCTCCCTCTCCGTGTGCATCTGATTGAGCTCACAAGCCACCTCGTCACCGCTGGATCCAGCAAACCGGACCTTCATCGCCTCGTTTATGATGCGTAACCTCAGCTTGTGCACAAGCTTTCTGGAGCACTATCAGCTCACTTGAGCCATTTCCCTATCTTACGGTCACGGTTCGATACTCATCGACACCATTTTGGATGGGAGAGATGTTCTTGACCCAAAGACGCTGGCTTTGAGCCGCAGGGCGACCTGGACCCCAGATGACTTTCCCCAGGCTTGGGTTGCCCCGGACGGGATGTAACCGCTCGCTGTGGAGCGCCCAAACAGTCCCGGCCGAGATGGGTCCTTTGGCCGTAGCTTTGTATCACCTTGGCTGATAGAAGCGTCAATTATCTTTTCCATCCGGAACCCTGGCGTGACTGATATGAGCAGGCACGAGGGAAGCATTTGCAACGGACAGTACCTATGCTTTGGCGACTAGAGCACATTCGGGGCGTGCCGGCCCCGCTCCCGAAAAGCGGTTGACAGGCCCCCCGCCGGAATCCGGGAAGGAGCCAGCTCGAAGGCCTGCGGTCTTAAATCACCCCTCCGACCACTGATCGCAGGGATGCTTTGATGAAAAGGGCTGGGCGCTGAAAGGAGAAGTGGCGGCAACAGAGGATGCATAACTTTGCCGCACCGCCTAAGCCTTACGTAGGGCTCCTGATGGACCGCGTCAACGAAGCAGAGCTAGATTTGCGCTTCTTGCATGCTAATTTGGGGCTGTTTTGGGAGACAATGGCCCTTTCGCTGGAGGGTACGGGGAAGTCATCCGTAGACGATTTGTCGACGGTTCCCTTGTCGTCAATACCACCATACATCAGCGACTGGTCCCCAGACTACTAGGATATCTCCACATCATCGCGGACGGCAGCCAAAAAGGAAGAAACGTAGCAGAGGTTGAAAGAGCGTGTCTCGGTCTTGAGGTTGCGGTACTTTGGCATGCACTCTTCCTCCACATCGCCGCACGAATCGCATAGCTTCTGCTGAAGTAGGGCCGAAGGGTTGTCGAGGGAGAATGGAATTGGACTTTATAAGAGCAGGTAGCCGGGGACTTCGAGGACTTAGAAGGCGATGACATGATTTAAGTAAGCGAAAATCTCTTGATGATCGTGGGGATGAGTGGGAGGCCTTCGGATCAACTCGCCGTTACGAAAGAGTATGAGGGGAAAGAAATGTAACTTTGACTGCGGGCCGAAGCGGCGTAAAGCTAACACAGTGAGTTTAAAAGGCGCGCGAGATGCTCAGGTTAGTTTTGGGTATAAGGTTCCCTGCAAAGACGAGGATGCAAAACGGAGGCACGAAGCGCGACGGGTTGAGTTTGCGGCCCGCCTCCGTGCTGCAGCCCGGCATTTAGCTGCGCCGAAAACCGGCCCCGCCACCGGGCCCACATGAGCTTTTCAAGTGCATGAGTGACAATCCAACTTTTGCACCTTGCCCTCACCACCCCTCAATCCGCGCGTGCGACAAACACCCACCGAAATCGATCCTGAACCCGAAAACATACCGAGGAGATACAAACCCCAAACTCCACGCAAACATGGCATCCTGCCGCATCCCCGCGCTGCGGCACCTCGTCACCTCCTCGGCGCGCGCCTTCCGCGCATCGAACCAGCGCCGCTGGGCCCAGGTCCACGACGTGCGCTTCCTCGCAACGACCCAGCAGCCCCGCGCCGTCGTCGAAAAGTACCGCGCGAAGCTCGAGCAGAAGGCCAAGCAGGAGGGCGTCTCCAACATCGACGAGCTCAAGGCCGCCTACGCCGACAAGATCCAAGAGCAGAAGAAGCGGGACGCCATCTCGGTGCCCGGGCTGGACGAGATCCTCAACGACGAACCCGCGCCCGCGGCGACGACCGCCACGACACAAGAAGGAACCCCGCCACCACCGCCGGTGCCCGGCGCCTCGGGCAACGGCATCAAGCCCCTCGACGAGATCCTCGACCTCCCCAAGGCGCGCGAGCTGCCGGACAAGGAGCTGACGGCCATCTGGCGGCTGCGCCACGCCTCGGACCCGACGTCGCTGTGCGCGGTGATCCCGTCGTCGACGTTCCGGCAGATGGAGGCCCTCGCGCGAGAGAACCCGCAGTTCGTGCTGCCGGTGCCGCACGAGTCGCAGGGCGCCGAGATCCACTTCCTGCAGTGGGTGTTCGATGCGGCGTCCAAGACGGCGACGGTCATGTTCACGCAGCTGGCCGAGTTCAAGGCGCGCGGGGAGTACGCGCAGCCGCACACAACGGTGACGCACCACACGGACCTCGCGGACGAGAGGGGCCTAGTGCTGATGCACGGCAAGGTGTCGGAGGACCGCGGGGTCAAGTCGGAGCATGCGCAGTGGCTTGTGATGTGCCTGCAGAGGTTTTATGGAGAGGCGGAGGGGAAGGAGAGGGCGGCGGAGAGGAAGAAGCTGTTGGAGTGGTTCAGGACAGGTGACCCGCGGTTTAGTGTTGAGAAGTTGATGGAGGAGGCGGAGAGGATCGGTTGAGGTGGATGGAGGTGTGTTGAAGCAGGATTCGAAAACGCAGACGTGCGTGAGGTTTGCACGGTTTGCCAGGGGCCTCGTCTCGGGCCGTCTCTGTAGAGGAGTCGTAGATATAGAGCCTTGAGGTTCTTGTACAAAGGTCTTGATAGACTATGTAAAACGAAGCATATACCATTTCTTCCTCTCAGCAAGTAACCTCCAAATGGCGTCCCCGCCAAGCAAGGATTTGTGGTTTTCTTCGTATATATGTTGATTAGCGTAACCGAGTGTTTCGACGTTCAGCGTGTCTGACACTTCATGGTGGGTGATATCAAGCATTCTAAGAGGCTAATTATCTGTATAAACCGTACTAGTGAATTTATGAATCGACCTTCAGGAAAATTCGTGTGACAATCGTTACGATTTGTAACGGAATTGTTTTATTAGTCTGGAGATATCAGTAGCGATACAGTCGAGAAAGCGTGCTCGAAATCATGTGAATTTCCGTTCTTCGTTCAGATCCGAGATCGTTTCCTGCATGATCTGCTGCGTAATATACACAGGGCAATGCCAGTGGCAAACGTCGTACAGAGGCCAGGCATGAGTACCTGGGATCTTGCCCTACGTATCCGTAAACAGAGCCCAGGAGACTTAATTGCGTTTCCGAGGTTTGAAGAAGAATACCGCAGGCTGCCCCGGTATTTGTTGGGTCCCTCTGGGTGAAGATGTCCGCTATGGATAACTAATATACCCATTTCACTCCTAGCGAAAGGGTTGCGTTGAGCCAAGTGATAAAAGGGCTGCGAAGAGGTGATTACTTGGAAGGCATCGAAATGCACATGGCGCTGTACATGATAAAGAATATAGTAACTATGAGTTATGTCGCCTCAAGACGAGGTGTAAAACATTCAGATTCTTCAAGTAGGCACGAGTCACAGCTCATATCATAATCCCTGAGAATAAACGAAAAGACAAGAAGAGAAGTAATATTGGTAGAACCATGAGTTTGAGAGACATACACTATGAATTTGCTCACACAGAGTGCAGCAACATCCACCTTCGATTGGGACCCGTGTTTGAGAAGTAATTGGATTGCTCCACCAGGAAAAACGATCCCGGTCAAAGTTGGTCAAATAAAGCAAATTTGGTTTCTAATGCCTACGTCACCTTGCTTAAGACCATCGTTAGTGGCGACCATGTCAGGGCAGCGAAGAGTTGATGGAAAGCTTTGCTTTTGAAGTGATTATTATGCAAGTGTCGCTTCCAATGGAATAAACCATGCATGCATTAGAAAGCCAACTTCTGTCTGCGAGGTCATCTTCGGCTAATATCTCGATCTAACAGCTTTTTGTTGTCCTTGACTTATTCTACGTTGGTCCTCGTATTCTGGCTTCCTTTGGACGTGCAGCTACGGAGGAACAATGTCTTCCATTCATAACCGTCACTTCTAGTCGCATCTGCTCAAAGTACTGACTCAGTAGAAGGCTCTTCCGCAATAAAAGACATATCATCAACTGCGATCTCACTTCAACTTTCCAGACGAGAAATGTTGACCTTGTCGGAAGTGGCTTTCCATCACCCGCCCGAGGCTCAGAATGTTTCTCGGTTATTCCATCGCATAAGGAGACAACACCAGTGAAGCAGTGACTAAGGATGTGCATATAGTGCTGATGTTGGTATCACAGTTATTGATATACTTGCGTGACCGCACAGTGATGTCGTTGCTCATGAAGATACAGCCTATGCCGGGTCTCATTGTCTCCCATATTGTCTGCTCTGAGCGGAACTGCACTGAGGCAGGCTCCCCCAGTTTTACACTAAAATACTGTTGACGTGTGTCTACTTCTGACATCAAAAATCGAGAGTTGACACAAGTTTTAGTCACCCAATCACGTCTGCCGCTTCGAGAGCTTGATACTAATAATCACTCTAAGCTTCAATGTTTTTACCTCGTGGGTATGTAGGCTTTCGCATAACACACTGCAGATGATTCTTTCTGGTGTCATTATTTCCTGGAATAAGCCAGAGAAAACGCCGGAGAGGGAACGGATATACAGATTAACGTTTTGAATTCTCAAGTTTCCAGAAGCTCTCAGTGTGAGACTTCTTCAAAGGCCACAAAGGCCACGGCATTGAGTCAAACGAACTGAGCTCTTCTCCCATCCTCGTCACATTGAAGGGTAGATACCTGACAGTAAACTAGTAGGCTTCTTATATTCCACATTGATCCACAGTCACAGCGGTGTATTTGGTAGTAGTAGCAACCCAACAGCCAACAAAGTGAAAGTGAAAAGGGGCTTGTAGCTCCAAGTCCGGAAGGGCGTCAACATTATCATCGTGCTAGCAGAGTATAAAACGCACCATTGGTCCCTTTTATACTCCTCAAGAATGGAGTGGCTTCATGTTTATGCCAATCAATTCTTCCGATTGCGCGTATCGAACATACCCCCGGATCAGTAAGTCAGTGTCTGTGTTCGAGGTGATTGATGTTTGTAAGAACGTCTTGATTTAGCGGTACGTTGTCAATCTCGACTTAAATCGTTCCCAATACCCAAAGGATGATATTGATGATAGACATCACTATACACCCAGTCGCAGGTGTGAATCCTTTTTAGTCGACGAGGCCAGCATAACAGAAACTCGGGAGATAGAACCCTCAGACTGTGCTATATGCAGTGGTACACCGATGAAGAACATTGCTGGTAAAACGGGAAATCATCAGCCGGTCATAGAATTTGAATACGAACACAAGTCCATAAAATGTGTTGTTGGGCCGGCGAAGAATTCTGTCTCAACCATGCCATCCGACCCCGGGAGGAGAATGAAGTGATTACCGGAGTCAATGATTCGTGTACGTCGTCTACTCTTACTCTAGTGTATACATGTATACTCTTCCAACAGTGTTCTTGCCAGAACGATTACCATTACGCGTGTTCCATACCTTTATTCGTGCAATCCAAGAAGTCGTCCAACGCTTTTACTCCTGTGCGATGCTGATGGAAGCCAAAACACGCCTGCCGCCCGAGGTATATACGAGGTCTACGTCTTTTCGTCTCTTCACCAACGCCGCTTCCAACTCATGCAGAAAAACTTGCCGAAACTCGGAAGCCAAAGTCTACTCGGTATCGTCACTGCTCGACTGACTCTCCTCTGTGTCCCCTTTGACGGCCTTGGCTACTGGCGGCACCCACTTCGCCACGTCCTCGCAGCCTTTGGGAATGCGGCACTTGTCCCGCGCATTGCAAGTCTTCCACAGAACCTCGCGGATTTCGGTAAACACCTGCTGCGGGGCATCCATAGCCCAGATAACATCAAGGTGCTCGTACTCATCAATGACCTTGCTGTGAACCACCTGGAGATGCGGCTCGCGGCCTCTCTCGAATCTGCGTAGGAGCTTCTTGCCGTCGACGAGGTCATCGTTTCCAGCAACCCAGAGTGCGAACGGCGGTGCTTGTTCGTTGTACCATGCTGTTGAGCCCTTGGGCCTGCGAGTGTGTTCGTCGACTGTATGAGGGGACATAAGGCCGTCGGCGTCATCGGCTCGCAGTGTGTGAGAGTCGTCGCCGTTGATGCAGTCCTCCTTCTCCTCAGCGCGGACATCCTCCTTGGTAGAAAGGATACACTTGTGCCTTGCGAAGCATTCCCTTCCCAACCACCATCGCATGGATTCCGAGCTGACGTAGACGGGCGCAAACTGGAACATACGGTCTCGCAGACCGCGGTCCCATCTTGTGTCCGTCCAGTCAAAGAGGAACGAGAAAACCTTGTAACCGAGCCAGCCATAGATCTTGGGGTGAAGTATCTGGTGCATCTGCATCATGAAGGGGATAAAGGCATGAATACCGAACATTAAGCGGAACATGCCAGGGGTGATGATCCTCATGAACTTGAAGTACATCTTTCCGATCAAAGGTCCCGCGTAGGCGGCAGGTGCAAGGGCGCAGAAGACGGTCAACTTTTCACCCAAGTCGGGTCGCTGCTCCTTGGCCAAGGCCACGAGGGTCTGTGTTGTGCCTTGGGAATGGCAGATCAGACCAATCTTCTCGAATCCGGTTTCGTAGAGAACTCGCGAAGTCAACGCCGGCAGATCGAAAACGCCCATCTGGCGGATGTTCCAGCACCACATCCTCGGGTCGGAGTACTCGAGCAACACGTGCTTGGGCTTAAAGCCACATCGGTTGTTGCCAAGCCAGACGTCGAAGCCAGATTTACAAAGGTAGAATGCGAGCGAGTCCTCGTCATTGGTGCAGTATGCGCCGGAACTCTGCAGTAGACCGTGCATAAGCAGGACAGGAAACTTTTTCTTTTGTTCGGGATCCTTGAGTTTCTTCCTTGATGTGGTGAAAACGTCGGGCCCTCTGTCGGCTCTCTCCTTCTCGCTCAACGGCGTGTATTCTTTCGGGTCGTAGACGTGCCACAAGTCAATCACGAATCCGTCCTCGGTCTGTACTTGGAATTCCTCGACGTCCAAGCCAACGCGACGCGCGTAGTATCCGACATCGCAGACGATTGGATCGGGCCCACCCTCGGTCGGGACGAACTCATCAGCCATGGACTCCTTGTCCTTGCTGAGCTTCTGGCTGGACTTGCTTCGTTTCCAATTCTTGTCCTGGTCTGCACGGAGCTTGATTCTGCGCATCTCTTCCTCGAAGAACGGTCTCCGCTTGTCAGGATTGCGAAGTGTCAGGAGGTAAAATATCCTTGTACATAGTGGCGGAATGCTGGTGAAGAGTGCGCCGAGTACAATGACTCCAAGAAATGCCAGACTGAGGAAGAAGGCCGAAACCCGGAAAACCATGCACTGGAAGTCGCGAAATAGTGATGGTGGCCCGTAAAGTGGTAGAGGCGGAAACAAGGGATTGGTGTGTGAAGGCGGCATCTGGCGACGAAGGGAGCCTTCTTGCGATCTTTGAAGAGACTTGCCATCTACGTCTGTTGGTAGGGAAATTACTCTCTCCTGTCTTTCCGGAATCTCCTCAGCATTGGCGACCTCGTCTTGCACCTCGTCCCCTTGCTTGATCTTGACCACCGCGGGGCCATCTTCGAGTTCTTCTTTCAGTATGTTCAACTTGTGTGCCTCTTGTAGGGGAACTCCCGGAAGCCTATGCCCCTCTGATGTGACCACAACGGGATCCTGCGGTGTGACGAAACGGGCCTCGACGGCGACGGCGGAGTCGCTGGTCTCGTGCTTCTGGTGTGACAGCTTCTCGGCTTGTTGGGCGAATTCGACGGCGGTTTGTGTAACGGCATGGTCGCGTATTCGGTCGCGGCGGCCGTCCGAGGAATCGGAAAGGTTACCCATGACTTTCTTGGGTCTTTAGCCCGATCGCAGAAGAGAAATATGGTCTGCGTCGCAACTGTTGCGCAGGGTCGAGATTTGCAGGGACTTGAACAGCTGAAAAGGGGGAAAGGTCGCCTCTCTTTGCGCTGCGGGATGAATTTGCGCGATGAAGTTGGCAAAAGATGATTGGGATAGAAAATTGGTTCTCAAATGATCAGTCCAAAGCCACTGATGGCATGAACAGGCATCATTGGAGGTGAGAGGGTGGTATCCAAAGCAGGGAAGCAAAGCGTAGATCCGGAACGATAGTGGAAGAAGAGAAGGGGTGGTGGAGGGGTGTGGTAGCCGCAAATTGGGGCGGAGGTAAGGATTAGATCCAATGCCACACCAATCGACTAGACGGAACGGTTGGCGGGTTAATAATAACAAGGGAGAGGCGAACTCGAGTCTCGGGGTCCTTGGGCGCCGCCGGACAGTAACGATAAAGGGATGGGGAAATTTGAGAAGGGGGAGGATAACAACAAAAAAAAAGTACGGACGTGGGAGAACGTGCTCGCGTACCGCCGAAAATGCAAAGATCACGACAAGCCGGTCTCACCGCAAGAATCGTGGTATGATTGTGTCCAGATTCCAGCCGTGCGGTCTGGTCTGGAAGGTGTCAATGTCAATGCCAATGTTACTTTGCACTTTGGCACTGCACCTGCACCTGCACCTGCACACAGAGACAGAGAGACCCGACGACAGAAGGACGGACACACGCAACACGCTCCCAGAACGCAGACGCCCATGCGGTCCAGCCGCAGCCATCAGGAAACTTTGTCTGGAGCCTCCCGGCTTCCCCTTGTCGCTGACGCTGCGCTGAAGCGCTGAAGAAGCCCGGACCAGTCGCTGCCGGCTAAGGTATCGCTGCCATCGCCGAGCCAGTGGGTGGCTACATCGACCTCCATCGACCAGGGAGGAGCCCCGCTTGCGTCATAGCAGCTGTGTTGTTTGGAGCCATCCGTTAAATGACTTGCATTGATTGGACCTCAACCAGCCGGAGAAAAAAAGCATGTGACGATCCCGAGATGTGTTTGGAAAACCATGCATCATCATTGACATCGACATCCCGATAGCACTGCCAGATATCTTGGGAGAGCCTGGCCGCGATGGATCTGTTGCGCAATGTCTTCGGAGGAAAAGGGAAAAAAAAAGGTGTCGTCGAGAGGACAAAGAAATGCCGCGTCAACTCTGCCAATCATTTAGCATCCAGATACAGACCTGTCATCGCAAACCTTTGAACGGCACCAACCACGCGGCTGCCTCGAACTCTGCCTAGCCTTTCGCCACAAAATCCCAGGAATAGTCGGGGTGGTGTTTACGGATACGGAAACCGAGTACGGATGCTGCTGGCAGCAGTTTGGGTCAACCCGGCCAACTCGGCATCCCATGCACATTCAGACTTTTTTGAAGCCGCTGCGTCTGAGCTCTCTACCCTGAACTGTGTGTTGTCCTTCCAGCCTCCTCGGCCGGATATCAAGGACGAACCGGATCTGCAGTGCCAGCAATCGCTTGATCGCCACATATTACGCAGTGTGGTTGGTGTTTGGACAAGGCTGTGCTGTGCCAGATGTGGTAATCTTTTGTCTCTGTTCAGCTGGATCAAGGCGACTCGCCAAAAGCATGGAGCGCGTCCGGATGCCGCACACCCGCGAAACCAGAGAGTCGTCATCCGGAGCTGCTGGGAGTTGTCCTGTAAGCCAGAAATAATGCGCAGCTTACTCACGGCGAAACTCAATTGCGACGTGGCCGGCTGCTGCACCCGAACTGGTCACCAACAACCCGTTTTGGTGTTTGATTAGGATGAAGATGCATAGGACGTCGATACATACGGCTTGAGGCGAAATAGAAGCTGTGGTGAGTGGATCCATGTGGATGAACGTTGTGTTCCAATCCGCAGAAGCGTCAATATGACATCTTCTTCTGACGTTGTCTTGAGTGGAGAAGTCGTTGATAAGAAACTTGATTGCAACTCCAGAATGGCAGGTCGAGACCTTGAGATCAGCCACAATCCTTGGAGTGTGTAAAGCGGTGCGCTGTTGTTGGGGCTGAGTACCCAAAACTTCTTCTTCCCCAAAGAGGAGAACACTATGCCAATTTATCTCCCAATTGGGGGCTTGAGCTATGTCGAGACCATATGGGCGGGATAACCTGCGAGCTTTGAATCAAAGAGTGAAAGAAAAGCATACAGTAATGATTTAGAGACCCAACGCTACTTCCATTGGATGATTTTCATTCCAATATTCGACTTGCCAATACCTACCTCGCACTTCTTGGCGATGCGATATCGGACGGAGGAATTCGATAACATCTTACCATGAGAAACCATTGTTGCACAGATGAATTCGCAAGTCATGGTGACTTTCGACAACGGCCTTGCTACATGAACAGGCGCGACTCAAGATATTGACAGTCGCCTTAGTGAATAGCAACAGGAACCTGACTCTCGATGGAGTCAAGTTTGGTTTGGGCGGGGATTGTTCGGCGTCGACGCTCCCCCGGACACATGCTTAGTCATCCGGCTATCCCCGCTCAGGCCGGATTTTGCTGCCTTCCTGAGGTGCAGCACCTCCTGGTAACCCCAGGAGATTGGGGAAAAGGTGCGGCTGCAGCTGGCCCTGCGCCAATGCCGAGGCCTAAGACACCCCCAGCCGAAGCTTGAGTTGGCCCCGACTCCAAGCCGACACTGGACTCAGGGACCTGAGCTTAGCTCTTCAACGCGGCCATCGCGATCGGGACACGACGTCCTGCGACCTTTGATACCCTTCGGCTTCAATTGATCTTTTGCTCCGCGACGATTCACTCCTTTTGTTCACACTCGACGCCTGGGCCGTTCTGTTGTGCCTCCTGCGATGCGTATTTGAGATATCGTCTGTTGCTTCGCTTCACATCGGCCCGTGTACCGAAACGCCAGCATGACAACCTCGGAGCTCGTGCCGCCATCACAGGCGAGGAGGAGTAGAAGGACACGGAGAAGAAGACAGGACAAGCCCTCCCTATCTGCTAGACTGATTCTCGACGACCATGAAGTCAGGGGCGACATCGGCATCCTGTCCGAGGACCTCTTTGCGGACCTGTTCCCCCACCTCCGTGATGGTAGGCCGCGCTTCTCCAGATCGCTGTCACCCGCGCGTAATGGCTAATTGCTTGTGGACGCAGCTCCCTCCCGTGAAGACGGCTCCGAAGAAATTCACCATGTTGCGATCGCTCCGTGGGAACCGAACCCCTCCCCGACCGAAACCGCCTGGACAGTTGTGCCTGTGACCAAGTCCTCCACTATGAAACCCTCAACCGTCCAGTTCTCTCCCTCTTCGCTGTCGCTGCAGAACTTTGCGACGATCTTACAACAAGTCGCACCGTCAAAGCTCTCGAGTCACAGTCGCAGCGGCATCGAGATCCAGATACTCGACGTGGTCGCCCTTTCGTTGGATACGGTATTTGTGAGCCTCGAGAGCGAGTTGACGAAGCGCTTGGAGCAAGGCGAGGGAACATTTTTCCGCGATCATCCTAGCCATCCTATTGGAAAGGGACCGGCAACCTCAGACGGCCGTCTGATTGCCGCTTTGCGCGTGGCCTTGGGCAGCCTGACAGTGCTTCATTCCGGCGATCTCTTCCCCCTTCCGCTGCCTCCACATCCAGTCACCCACGTTCCGCCGAATCCTGGAAAGATCATGCTGTGCGAGCCTGTGAGCCAGGGAATTCTGTCTGAGAACACTAAGATCATTCTGATGCGAGGACGGGTACACGCAAAACGTAGCCACGCCACGGCAATCCCCCGGAACCGCAGTCTGAACGGTGTTCCCGAAGACGACGAAGACGATACAGCGAACGATCAGTTTTACTCGGCTGCCGAAGACCGGTACAAGACAGATGCTGCGACTACGGAGTTGGATTCGGTTACAGAAACTGAAGAGTCGGAGCTCTCTGGCATCGATCAAGACGATGACTTGTCTGACGACTCTATGGACGATATGATTTCCTTACAAGCCCCGACACTTCCCACAACAGCAAGCGGCGTATCCACGATGCAGCCTGGAACTCCGATGACGATTGGAAGAGGAAGAAAGACGAACGGTATCGCTACGCCAGCGTCTGTATTCTCCAACTTTACCGCGACGACTGCGCGTCCTGACAGGCCCAGAGGACGACTTTTCAAGGCTCAGGGCTTGATTCGACCCATTGCCGTAGATCTTCTTCACCCCAAGCCTGCCCCTGAGGATGACGACGAAGCCAGAATCTTCGTAGACATATCATCACTGTCCAAGATTGGCTGTTTTTCAGGAGACTGGGTTCGCGTAGAGGCCGCCGAGGAACCGCCTGCCAACGGATTTGGCGCATTTGGCCTCGGAAGCTTTACGTCACTGGAGCCGACGGAGTCTAATTGGCGGCCTGTGAGGGTGTATGGTCTTCCTGAGGGATACTCGCAACGCCCCGTAACACGGATACCCAGCGCAAAACACGGCGAACGCAGACTGTCATTCTTCGAATCTCAGCTCCAAAAGCCGACAAGCCCAGCAGCTTATATTTCTCCAATTCTGCTGGCCAATCTTGACGGCCCCCCGTATCTGAGACTATCGCCCATTAAGCGCGGTTCTTACCAAGGTAAGGGAACTTTACCCAAGTTCACGAGCGCTTCTCGACCGCCGTACGCTCGCGATATTACGATCCAACACGTCCGGTCCCCTGTAACTGCCGAGCGAGCATACCAGTCGGCAGTGCTGGGTGGGCTGAAGCGCTACTTTGCTCAAAAGTTCCGTCTCGTCAGGACAGGAGACCTCCTTGCTGTACCTATCGACACGCAATTAGGAAAGGCCCTCCAAGAACAGGCGAGCGGGAGCAATGGATCAGAAGTGGATGATGTTATGGCTCTTACCAAGGATGGATCCTCAAGGGTCGATCAGGTAGCCTGGTTCAAGGTGGGCCATATCCAAATATCCAAAATGGAGGCGGAAGACGACCAGTCAGACGATCTATGGGGTGGA